GGGCGGTGTGCCTCCTGCCTGCCCGTGCTGGCCAGGCCCGTGCGTGCTGCCATACCTGGCCGCCCCCGAAGTTTGGGACGGAGTTTTCGCTTGGAGTCGGGCATGTTTGATAGCCCCGGTAGGTGGGATGGTAGGGGTCGTTCAGGGAAGTAGAGAGCTTTGTTTTGCTCTTTTTTTTTTTTCTTCAGGGCACTTCAGTTTTTCGTAGGGGCAAAGAAACAGTCATTCATAGAGATGGACCGTCTGCAAAAGCAGAGGGTCGGGTGTACACAGCTCTTTCGGTTTTAAAAACATAAATCATGTACTTAAGTAATTGTGATGCATGTATGTGCCCTGAGCTTCCTTTTTTTTTTTTTAATGTGTACTATTATATGAGATATGACTCATGGGATGACACATCTACACAGTGGATAATTTCAACTATTGTAATTCTGTGCGGGGGGAATTTCCACTTTATCAGATATAAAGCATTCTCATATGATCTATGTGCTCACTGTACTTTAACTTGTTTTCTTATATCTGAGAACATTTATATTTTAATACCAGAAAAACATGTTTTAATACCACAAAGATGTCTTTTGCTCGTAAAGTTTTAGATTTCCTACACTAAAATCTTCAGAATGGACAAATAAAAACAAGAAAACACAGAGTGACACTTTGTTTTGAAATCTCGTGGACCCATAATAGTACAGAACACTTTTACGGAACGTTTGTCTGGAGGAGCTTATAAAACTTTAAATTATAGTGGGAGGATGTAGTGTTGACATAAAACTTGGAATACACTGAAAAATGTATATGTATTGCATCCTCCTATTTTCAGTTGTAGAAAACCAGCTCTGTTCATTGTCGCTTTGCCTCAACTGCCCTTTTCTGTCTCCCTTTCTCTTACACGTTCTAAAGATATAAAACAGACCTTTGAGAAGATTAAGACAGAGCCAGACACGCGTGGTATTGCCACTTGGAGTACTGAGTGAACTCTTAATTAGGAAGCCTACTACTTCATCTGCACCCTACCTTCCTTACAACGTGATGCACACCAGTCCTCCTGCTTTTCTTGTGTCTTTGTGGATATATAATCATCACGGTTCAAAACCATTTAAAGAAAATGCAGTTTGAAAGGGTTTACTGCCACAGGTTTGGGTTAACCTTTCTCGTTTAATGAAACAATGGGATTAGAATGGAGAAAGAAAGAGATTTATGAAAGACTTCAAGACTCCCCAAAGCTTCTTGCTTGGTAAGTGTTTCTAACGATTATGGCAAGCGACTGGATTTATTTTAGCTTGTGCACACACACACACGCTCGCATAAATACACCAACAAATCCTGAGAATGCTCTTTGTAAACTTTTTCTACGTTGCATTCCTGTCACTCGCTCATCCCTTCATGTCATGATATTGTTAGGTGCTTTCCTTTTTTATCCCAGAGTTGATATCTGCAAAACTCAAATTACTGTAACTGATATTTGAAAATTCTCCCTGTGTCAAGTGAAGACTTATGGTGCTGAAATCAATAAGACTGTTTAAAATTCAAAGACCTGCAAATCGCTCTGTTTGTCCTTTGATAGGGCCTGGGCTGATTAAAATGCGACCAAGAAAGCTTAATTGCTGCACTAATTAAGAAGTCTTTAATTTCTTTCCTGGAATATTGTTTGAAGCAGGGTTTATGTTCTGCTCATATAACTGTTCAGGTCAGGTATTCTCTCTGTCTCTCTCTCCCTCTGTCTTTTTTGCTTTGACTATTTTGGTACATTAAAATGTATGTTAAAGCAGTAAGATTTATTGACAGTGATTACAATTTATTAGTCACAAAAAAAAAAGAGAGAGTGATACGGAGTTCACTGTTTTATTAAATTTCAATTTTGAGGGCAGCTGTAAAGGGTAAAATGCAATTAGAAAATGTATTGTAGCTGTTGCATTTTAAGGAATATGAATACCTGACTGACAGGAGATAGCATGGCACATCCGCTCCCTCCCCCTTCTGCATTTTTTATTGATAATTGAATATTTAAATTCATTCAAACAAACAGAAAAATACTTCTCTTCTGAACGTGTGAGAAGGAATGGACTGGGGGGAGGGGAAGCACACAGAAGGCAGATACCTTGTAAGGATGGAGAACATATTACCATGTTAAGTTCATGTACAATGCATTTTTCTCTGTTTCTCTGCAGTTTATTTCCCCGAGAAATACATTTCTCTCCTGTATCTTGTCTTATTCTCGTCTAGTGACCTATTTTGTTCACTACTTTCTGAAGAGAAGAAACTAAAGGATTTCACAAAGCTTTCTGTGTGATCAATAGAGTAATGTTTTAGGTTTAATCATGCTGCATTACGATGCTGGCAAAAGACTGCTAAGAAGAGTCTGAGAAGGGAGCAAGTGCTGGCAAAGAGAAGGTAAGTTCTGTTTTGTTTTAAGTCTCCAGGGTCTCAAGCAACACTCCTTTTTTCAGGAGCTCTCTGTTATTTTGAGGGAAGGCTCCAAAGAGTAAGCAGGGAGGGAGGGAGGGACCGAATCCCCCCTGCATCGTTCAGGAAAATAGTCTCATAGAAATGTAAGCCTGTGAATTGGGATCCTCTTTTTTTTTTTTTTCCCCCTTCCACTAAGATATTTAGCAAACACTGAAAACGCAATGAATACACAGTTGAGATTGATGTGAAGTGTTGTACCAGTAATAAGAAACTGGATACTGCAGTGCTGTTTTTCTAATTGTTGCATTATAGTCAAATTAGCACAGACCTTGTCCAATATAAATACAAACTGGATTCCTTTCAGTGACAGGACAAGTAGATAACATGCTTAATAGATACAAAGGGAGATTTACCATTCCAAGCACGACGTCACGCTAATTATGTTTACTCTAATTGAAAGCAAGGTTTGGGGGAACCTGAAATTACTCATAGGATATTTTTAATAACTGCATAACAAAGTACACCTAACGTTGATCACAAACCTTTTGGTATTTCAAAATCTATTGGAAAAATTAAATGAAAAGTGGAGTTTGGTACAAACAATGCCCCAGGGCAAAAAACAACTAACACTAGATTTTCCAGTCCAGCCATAACACAAATCAATTTGAGCACACTTCTATGGCCAGACTGCCAGATTGTTATGACTGCTAATTCACTCAATCAAACAGTGCATTAGCACACCCGGCAAAAACAGCTTTAACAATAGCATACACTTCTGAACAGTCCACCATACATCATAAAACTCCAGCATACATGGCACGATTGCTTTCACATTCTGTTTACTGCGATTTATATTTGCATACGGTGCGTGCTTAACAAAAACGTGGTGGAAGAATTGAAGCGAAGAAACTCCAGGCGCCATTAAAAATAACTTTCCAAGTTTTTACAAAACGAGAATCTGGGAGCAAATTGTTACCTGGGCTCGTTGTTTAATAAGCACCTCTCAGCTGGAAAGTTCAAAGCAGCGACTGCACATCCCCAGCACGGGACTGGGAAAGGAGTTGCTCCGGGCTTGGCAGCTTGCGCTCACGCCCTGCCTAACCCCAGCACTGCAGCGCACGACCTTCAGGAGCATCTTTTGCCGGCTTTACTCCCGCGAGCAAACTCACTGACTGCTGAGGTGCTGATCGCCGGAGTAAAAGGGCAGGATTTAGCCCGCAGAGAGCATCCTTCAATTCTTTCCCCTCATCCCCACGAGAAATGAGTGTTATCTCTGGTGATGCTAACTGATGCTCTGACCAAGGACACGCTGTACTGAAAGATGAAATAACCAACAGCTTGGGAGCCTTCTCATTCCCTGCCTCCCTCCTCCCCTGCATCTGACACACACACACACACACACACTGGAAATACCAAAAGCCAATTAAGCTTCTTGCTTATTTACAATTTTTTTTCTTAAGTCGCTGTTCTGACTTCAAGGGAGTGTGTTTCCAACTCAGTAACTGAAATAATCCTTATGTTGATTTGAGTCCCTCGGTCACGTTGCAGTTATCAGAGCCAAATGGTGAAACGGGTCAGGTTCCCTGCTCATGCTGGCTCGGAATGAATGGAGCAGGTGACCGGGCTCTGTCTGCTTACATTCATAGTACAATTGACGGCCAATAGAGAAAGCTGCAGTAGCGAAGAGGAAATTATAACCAACTTCCCTGCATGAATTAAATTGGGACTGGAATAGACGGGGAGCCCTCCGTGATGTTTGAGTTATACTTGTGCTCTCATCACAGGTCTTCAGCCCAACGTGTTAATTCACCTTCCAACAGGTAGTAAAAGTCGCTCAGAGCAATAATTATGAAGTACAAAGCCCCTGCCATTAAATTATGTTAAAGTGGTGATATAATCTGAAATGCCCTTTCCCATGCTTCCCCCCGCTTACAGAATTAGTTCACTCAGACGCTCCATCCCCAGCTCCCAACCCAGGCGAATCGAAACGCAGACACTGGAGAGCCGACCCGATATTTAAATATTCATTTTTTTTTCCCTTGTCTTTTCCGTCCGTGTCACGTTCATCAGCGGTGCGGAGGGAAGGGTTTCCTTGCCGGAGGTCGCGCTCGGCGTCCGAAATTTGCGTGGGACCGTGGCTTCCCCGACCTTTTCTTTCGACAGAGGAGGCCGGCGGAGCCGCTCCAGGGGGGCTCCGGTCGAGACCGAGGGCTCGGGCTGGGGG